CAGTGAAGGACTCTATCCCATTCACAGTAGTGCCACAGAAGATGAAATATTTGGGAGTTTACCTAACAAGGGATGCGAAAGATCTCTATAAAGAGAACTATGAAACTCTAAGAAAAAAAATAGCTTAAGATGTTAACAAATGGAAAAACATACCATGTTCATGGCTGGGAAGAATCAACATTGTTAAAATGTCCTTACTACCCAATGCAATATACAATTTTAATGCAATCCCTATTAAAGCTCCACTGTCATACTTTAAAGATCTCGAAAAAAATAATACTTCGTTTTATATGGAATCTGAACTTTTTCTTTATGGTTAAAAAAGTTCTTCCTGACCCCAAAGTCTTATTATAAATCTACATAACTTATCTGAAATTGCTGTGGGAATACACCCTTTTTCAGATATTAGAATAATACTATGGACATAGAACATATATTATATAGTATTCTCAGCAAGAACTGAGATGGTGCCCATAATCAAACGCATTAATATTTCTATAGCAAAACATACGGATAGTCACCTAAATGATACATTAAGTAACAATTATAAAGAGACTCATGTCATTTCCAGTCATATTTTTCACAAGGGGGGTGTGATCAGAATACTTGCATGGTTGAATCAGCAAGGACACTGTCAACTGTGTTCCTTGGAAGTGAAATAATGGCCCAGAGTCTGTTACAAAACTTTGATGGTGATATATGCAAACATCTCTTCTTTCATTAATACTATTAGCTGTTTGTCAATTTATTAATTCCCCCCCTAAAAAATCAACATTTGGTTTTTTCCATCTATTATATGCAGTGTTGTGCTATCTAATTGGTTCCAAATGTAACAAACAAAATCCTGGTTTGCTGATTCCCATAACATGAATTTTCCCATCACTAGCAGTTCCAGCCACTGGACCTGACGTGTGCATAATTGGCATCACAAGGTGGTATGAGCTAGCTGTGGCACACCGCTGCTTTTGTTCCCCATTTTACATCAATTTCTGTTCTTAAAATTGTTTGTCTTTCTACTTTCTTTAGTCTTACTTGTTGTCTTTTTTCTAACTTCTTAAAAAGACACGTTTGGCTTCAGATGTTTCTGTCTCTTTTCTCATAAACAAACTTACTTCTGGCTGTTAATGTTCCTCTAAGGACTGTTTTAGCTTCATTACACAGGTGTTGCTACAATATTGTATTGTTCAGTTCAAAGTATTTTCTCATTACCATTGTCTCTTGGTATATGTATTATTTGGACTTGTTTTTATAGTTCTTTATTGATTTCTATCTTAACTGCATTGTGGTTAAAATCGTGATGAATTTCAATTTTTAAAATTTGTTTAGCGCTTTAAAGCTAAGTATGTGGTCACTTTTGGTGATGTGTATGTTTGTGTATTTTGATTTGGGTTGTGTTATTCTGTGTGTATTCATTATGTCATGTGCGTAAATCATGTTATTCAAATTTCCTACATCTTGTTTATTTTTTGTTTGCTGAGAAAGTCACTTTAAAATTACCTAATATGACCATATATTTTTTTCTGTCAAGTTTACTTTATACTTCATGAATACCATTAGGTGCATGTAAATTAAAATTTTATTTTTTGGAGACAGTCTCACTCTACCGCCTTGGGTAGAGTGCCTTGGCATCAGAGCAACCTTAAGCTCCCAGGCTCAAGCAATTCCCTTGCCTCAGTCTCTCAAGTAGCTCCAGCCACAACACCAGGCTAGTTTTTTCTATTTTTAGTAG